GTTTCAAGATCTTTGTAAGTTTTATAAACATTCAGCAAATTTATGTTATTGGAAATAATTAATTCTTATATGAAATATGCAGATACGTTCAAAGAAACCATTGAATTATTTTCTATTTTATTTATTTTGTTACTATATCACAAGTTGGATATTGTATACATATTGTTTCAAGGTATATACATGTATGTATATCTTACAATATATAACTTTTATTTCCTTCTTTTGATAATTTTTCCTATGAAATTTTCGTAAGATTGCTCCTCATTGCCTCCTACTCGCTCTCTTAATGTCTATCCCTTTCAAGCTGTTGTATTTACATGATTTTGAAAGGTTGTCAGTATTCTGGGTTCCGAATTATAAATATTATTAATTTTTTTTATAAAATTCTAATGGGATTGCTTCTCGCTGCTTCTAACTCGCTCCTTTACCACCCACACTGGTACTCGCTGGTACTGCTTGCTTACCTTCCTCTGTTTCTAGCTCTTGAAAGCTTATATAAGGTTTACATTTTTCTGGGATCAGATTTCTTATAGAAGATTGCTCCCTTTTGATTAATTTATTCTTTAAAATTCTTCTGTGATCACTTCTCGCTGTCTCCTACTCGCTCTCTTACCGCCCACACTATGTAGTACTTGTACTGGGATTGCTCCACTCCTCCTCCTCCTCCTCTCTTTCTCTCTCTCACTCTCTTCGACTGGGCTTTTGTTATCGCTCGGCTTTTCTTGGCGTCGCCGGCTGTGTGTGACCTTCGCATAGCAAAGCGTCGCCGTCGACGTCAGTCAACAGCTTCGCTTATTATAAAAGTATTACGAGCATTCATTTTTGCTTATTTCGCTGGCTATCCAAGTCCACGCTTTATCGCATAGTTTCGTATATGTTAATTCGCCCCCGCCCTACTCTCAGCGTTTCTCTGCCTTTCCACAAACACACACTCCACTCCACACCACACCACACACCACGCCTTTCAACGATGTTAGTTCACCAACGAATTCTCACAAAAAAAATTAATAATGAACTGAACTCGCACTCAGTTTGTGGACGCCACAAAACTCCGAAACCGGAAGTCATCGAAACATGTTTCTTCTTCTTCGAGTAGTATGTGCCCATTTTTGTGTGTGCTTCTTTTTTCTGTTGTTTTTTTAATGCCTCGTTTTTTTATGTGGCTTATTTGGATTCTCTATAGAAAGTAACACGCTTTGGGTGAATTGAAATCGGAATGAAGCTGAAACATGTGTATTGTGGAAAAGGTCTTGTTGTGAAGTCTTATCAGGAAACAATTGGGTGGGAAATGTAATATTAAATGATTGATTAAGAAATCTTATCATATTTGTTGCTATAAAATTCAGTAGAAATAATTTAAATAAGTATTGACTCTCTTTAAAAAGTATTGCGGAATGAAGCTGTAAAATAGCAAATATTCTGCAATACATAGATAATGTTTGGTTTGATTTGATTTGGGTTTACCTCTGCTCTATGGATATATTCCTGAAAGAAAACTAATTTTCCTAAACACAGAATATTAAATTTAACAATGCATCCAAAACGAAGAAATTCCTGAATACAATTCAAAAAAGGCTCTAATGTGACCAAAGAACCTAAAGAACAAGCAGTCAATAGGGTCATACTAACTTGCACTGCTTCCATTGTTTGTAAACAAACTTTGAAAAGAAACGCAAATGCATTGGATATTGACGGATTATAAATATATTACGCCGCAATAGAGGCTCGGGCAAATAACTGAAAGCACAAAGGTTATCACCTTTCAATAATAGATTATTTGCATAATTCAAATATAACTTAAATAGCATAAAATGGGGCTGTTTACAATGCCTTTCCTTTAATTTGACCTTTGTCCTATATTTGGAAAGGTTTATATGAAAGCAAAGTTAGTTTCTTTAAAGTTTCTCTCCTTCGTAACGTGCTAAATAGATCAAATTTATTTAGCGAAATTTTATGCGAATTGAATGTAAAGTAATTATTTCACTCTTAAAAACGCAGCTGTTTTTTGTTTTAATCTGGCAATGCCTCATTCTATTAGTTCACAATATTTAGTTGTGGTTCCGAACAAAATAAGTTCCTCCCGCTCCTTTGGTTCTTTTTTATGCAATTATGGCGCTTACTAGACTTTAGTATTATAATAACTAAATATCGATAGGAACTAAGACAATACGATAGTGGGGGATATCGGAGGATGCTCACACCTCTAATTCACGTGGTTGTAAGAAAGAACGAGGAAGAATTAGACGCCGTTGAATAAAAAATCCTAATTATTACATATTGTTTAAGTTTTTATAACAAGTCCACTTGAAAGATGGACACTGACAAATTTAAGGGTAAGTTGCCATAATTTTTCTCAGGTAAACTTCTTAGTAATTATGCATTTTGCATACAAAGATCTTGCTGTGCAATTTGCAAATTTCGAGCACACTTCACACACATGTGTGTGTGTGCTTGTTCTGGATTCTCCATAAAAAAAAGTAATTCGTATCGGGTGAATGCATTTTGGAATGAGACTGGAAATAAGAACCCATCAAATTGTTGGAATTTGTGTGCAATTTTGTTGGTTTTAAGTTATCAAAAGGGGATTCCACATTGTGCGATGCTTTTTTTCACGAAATTTCTAGAAGTCTCAATATGTATGTGTGTATGTTCATATGTGTGCATGTAGTTGAGACTTTTCGTATGATTAAATGTGAGGTTAAAGTGAAGTAATGTAGAGGAGAAGCGGTTTGAGGTTAAGGTGAAGTAAATTCGAGGAAAAGCGGTTTGAGGTTAAAATGAAGTGAAGTCTAGCAAAAGCAAGCGGTTTGAGGTTAAAGTGAAATGAAGTCTAGCAAAAGCGATTAGTGATTCTTCTTATTAATTAATTAACTAATAAACATATTTTATAGTCTTTGACTTTGTCCTCTTGAAATCGAGAGTTCAGCCGTAGGAAACAAGCTTTCTTTTTCTATGTTTAATAAAATAAAGACAAAACAATTTGTATATTATGTACTAATGTATTATTTAGTCTCCTTTTCTTAATTATTTGTCTTTCGATTTGCTCTTTGATATACATATAAACGAGCTTCTGTAGGTTTCATATATAGATTAGTTGTATTGGTGCCAACTTTCTTATCAGAATTAGAAATAGTTTGAAATTTCACAATCAGTGGTTTTCGCAAAAGTTGAATTCTTTGGAATATAGTTTTGCATTTAATTCTCTGAATTGGGGAAATTAAGCATTGATAAGGAAATAAATCACTTGACTAACTTGATGTCCCTGTCCCTCTTGTTCTTCTCAAATTGACACTTAATTTTGAAACAACAATCAGCAGTAACTATAATAACATCAATATAAAGTCTGAATAGCAACTCAAATTACATAAAACAAAATAAAACACAAACAAGTTGGAGACAAATTTAAAGAAAAACAAAACAAAATAAAAACAAAAATTGGACCAGAAAAGTTTCATTTTCACAGAATAAATTCTTGTATATTTGAGTCTCAAATTTTAGCATAAAACAGTTAAAATTTTCAGGCAATTATATCAAGTTGTCAAGAAATTAGATTATTAAATTATTTTATATACTACATATTTGAGTCAAGAGGGTTTCCCAACCCAAAACCAGATTCAAATCGAGGAGATTTTTGAAGAGAAAAGAGGGAAGATCTCATTATGTCCGGATTGTGTGGCCGAAACATTTCCAATTGGGTTTCGTTTCACAACAACAACAACAGCAAAAATTTGCATATCAGATTTCATCCGTCTGTCTTTTGTCTGTGTATATTATGTGTGTATGTGTGTGTTTTTCTGCTCTTTTTCGTGTGTGTGCGGGCATTATGCAAAAATGCTAATTGAAATGTGTTAATTTGATTGGCAGAGGTCCGACAGCTGACGACGCGATTTTTAGCTTTCGGTGTTGAGCAGATTTTCAATGTATTTTTTTTTAAATACTCTTCAAAGGTATTAAAAGTTTATAAAGGGGGTATTTTCGACACAAAAAATGCTTATTTTCGTGATCAGTATCAAAAACAGAGCTGATCTAGCCAATCTAGTTCGTCTTTTTGACTATGTTTACACAAACTAATCCATGAATAACAAATATTTAAATAGTATATCAAGATGTTTTTATAGAAAAAGTCATACAAATATTATAAATTATTAGTAATACATATTATAAAATAAAATAGAATGAGTATGATGAATATAGTCAAGGGTATAAAAGCTTCAGCCTTTTAAAGTTAGCTTTCCTTCATTTTAACCCTTTGCAGGGTATTAGATTTTGAGTTAGAACCCTCCAAAGCAGTGAAGGAATCATTTCCGACCCTATAAATCATATATATTCTTAATCAGCATCGACAGCCGAATCGATCTAGCCATCTCAGGCAGAAAACAATTATTTTTTAATTTTTTCAAAATTTTATAGGTTACATTGTTAAAATTAACAAAAAAAAATTGAAAAAAATTTAATTTTTAAATTGAGTATGCAGATTTATTAACCTTATAAAAACTAACACAGAACAGTTTTCCGAATTAAAATTATTATTTTTTTGACTGAGTTATGAGATTTTTAAATTTAGATTTAGTTGAAAATATGGTCATATAAAAATATCAATTCAATTTTGAATATTTTATGCTTAATTATGAGCGATTTCCAATTAGATCCTATAATTATATTGCAAACTGCAAGAGTATATAAACTTCGACTTCCTGAACTTATTTTTCTTTCTTGTTTTTTCCTTTTTTTTTTGTTTTTTGATTTTTAAACTAGTTTCTGTTCCGTTTCCAAATAGTTAGTCGTAAAAACTAGGCAAAACTGAGCTAATGAATAAATATAAAGTCATAAAACTGAACTGAACAACATACGCTAGATAATAAAACACACAAACAAAAAGTGGAGATACAAAACAAAAATGTCCGGGCTTTATTTCTAGTTCTAGATGTTTCTAAGTTTTATTTTTTGATTTTCTATATAACTATATATATATATATTTATATGTGTGCACATACACTTACCATATAATTGCCGCCAAAAAAGTGAAGAAAACAAACTCAAAGTAAAACGATAACTGAAAGTAAACAAATGCAAAACAAATGTCATTAAACAAAAAAACGAAACAAATAAAATATATTGAAAAACGGGATCGCGATAACAATAGTGTGAGGGAGAAAGAGAAATGTAGTTAGGTGAGAGAAAGAGAAAGAGAGAGAGTGTGAGTATTTCGATGTCAATTTTCATCATCTTTCTCAATTTCTCTGTGTTTGTTTATTTTGTTTCTTTGTTGCCATTTGCTGTTGTTCTAATTGTTGTTGACTTGTTGTGAATTAAATAATTAAATTATTTAATCTCGTTGTCGTCGGCTCTTTCGGCTCCGTACTCTTTTTTCTGACATAAATCACACTCTTAATCAATGCAATTGCACTCAAACTATCGATTTTCTAATCAAATTACTTAACTCGTTGTTCAGAAAACTATATGTATGTGTGTTTCATCATGAGTTGACATCATTCTTGGACTCATTACTCATTTGCCTGCACTAATTTATGATTGTCATTGTTTTCCATTGTAGTGTCTCATCCTTTGAATACTATTCTTTTAATACAGTCCTTGTACTTCATACATTTAACTGACTTTTTCAACTTTCTGTGATTTATAAAATAATAAAATTAATGATGGTAAATCAGTAACAAGTCAGAAGATTTGCAGATGGAAAATCAAATTAAAAACAATAATTTGTCAACCGAATAAATCTTACATTTTCTTGTCTATATCCTTTTGTTTTTATAATCAGTTTGCAGGTAGTTTTCTTTGAGAATTCTAGGGCAACAAAGGGCCTCTTGTTGCTTTAGGTATTGTTCAACAAAAATTTGTTCATATTTAAGAAAAATTCGCTTTAAAAAAGTCTACAAAAAATTAATTTTGAATATAAAAGAGCCTTTTCAAGAGATCATTTAAATATGTTTTGATGCCCTTTCAGGATGATGTAATTTCAATCAGAGTCATTTCCGACCCAATAAACCATATATATTATTGATCAGCATCAAAAGTTGAATCGATATAGACATGTCCGGTAAAAAAATTATTTTTTGAAAATTGTTCACAATTTTATAAGGGATTTCATCTTTAAAATTATCAAAATTTTAACAAAAATTTGTAATTTAAAAAATTTTAAAACTGAATAAGCAGATTTGTTAAGCTTGTAACAACTAGTTCAGAACTTCTTTCCGAATCAAAATTAATGCATTTTTGACTTAGTTATGAAATTTTAAGAAACGCTCATTTAACCCAAATATTAGCATTTAAAAATATAGATTTAATGTCCTTAGTATATGTTTTTATATTTATTATTATTTTCTTTGATGTATAATAGTATAATATTTACCGAAATTTAAATTTGCAATCAAAATCCTCCTTAATGCTGTACAACATAATTAAAATATTCAATTAGGAATTAAATTTGTTGCTTATTGTTTCACAAAAAGTCTGCATCCTTTGCCTTGGCCTGATAACTATCTCTTTTAGCCAGGTCATTAGATCATTCAGTCACCTGGTCAAGTCAACTTCTACAACTCTGTCCAGAAATTCGAAACCTTTTCAAGAAAAGGAAGTGAGCAATATGTGTGAGAGAGGAGCAGGCTCCTTTCATTCACAGTTGCTTCGAGTGAATAATGAATGGCGACACGCCCACTTGTCCTGCAGTAAAAGGGATCGGTCTTGGGAATAGGGATAGGGATCGGGGTACAATGTCAAGTGACCATCCTGCAGCCGGCTGTGTTTTCTTCTTCGTTTCCAAAAAAGGGGTTCCCCTTTTTCCACATGTCGAACGAGAAGAACAGCTGACTTTGAACTGTGGCAAAGTGGCAGGTTCGTTGGCAGTTCCCCGCTCTTCACCTGTCGTTGGCTTGTGGCAGGTGCCAAAACAAAACCGCAAAATATTGTTTCTCTGCTGCCGGCGGTTTACTCTGGCCCTTTTTTTACCTGCCTCGGTTACCTGTTGTCCTCACTCGCCAGTTGAGCGCAATTTAATAGAATTTTATTTCAGTTTTTTTGTGGAGCGGCATTGGGGGTAACGCCCCCTGTTGTTTTCCCCCTCTCTCTCACTCTGGCTTCTTCTTCACCTGCCGCCGTCTGCCGCCTGCTCCGTTTTTCAGCTGTTAATTCAAAGTAAATTATGTATTTTGCATAATTACAATATTTGACTTTTACTCATGACTGCACGCCACAGAGGGAACATTCAGCCAGCCGCAAGAAAAATATACATACATATACCAAAGAAAAAGAAACAGAAACCTCAACAGCCAGAGAAGAATATACAGGTCTTCCTGGAGCTAAAGGCCTCTCCTTCCGTCTTCTTTCCATTCATTTATCTTCTTTTTTGAATAAAGTCTGCTGCTACTTCCACAGGTTCTTCAGTTTAATCTCAACTTATCGTCAGAAATTTAAGTTACTTTGCCGCTTTATAACCTCTGATTAATGGTAAATTCACTGCTGGCTTAAGATCTTAATCGAGTTTTTATCGTTATGGCACCTTTGCCGTACTCATTTAATCACTAAATCTACTTTGATAACAAATTAGAGTCAAATGAAAACATTTCATGTAGTTTTTTTAGGGGAAATCCCTTTTTCTACACTTCTAAATCTTATAATTATAATAACAAGTTATATACCAAGTTGGAATCTTATTAACAATAATTCTATAAGATCTATCAATCTGTGTTTCATTTGCATTTTGTATTCAGTCATTGTTTACTTCACTCGTTCTATAAGTGAAAGTGACTCATTTTCTAAATTACACCACATTTGTTAATGCTATTTCCTACTTTTGCGAAATAATGCAAGTATATATTACATTTTATATACTGTTCATGTACTATATAACTTTGGGTTCCTTTCACCCAGAAAATGTTGGGGAAAGAAAATAAATTTCATCGCTTATCGATTGTGAAAGGAGAAAGTTCGGGAGATTTTGTATGTTATTTTATTATATTTTTTTTTTTTTGGGACTTGCGGCAGGATGAATTATGGTTTGGTAAATGGTTACGATCTGGTATCCCAAGATCCAAGGCGATCGAAGGTGCAGGTGCATTGAGTGCGCGGTGGGATGCGTTTTCCTTGGAGGGGCGTGGCAACGTTTGGCACCGCGTGCATTTAATTATGCGTAATTATTCACTTAGCAGCAGCAAAAGGCTAAAGACTACAACGACAACAACAACGATGATGATGATGATGATTATTATTATTATTATTATGATGATGATGATGTGGCCCTTAATGGCAAGCGTTTTCCGCTAATTGAAGGAACCACAAACCCGTTTGATGAGTGCCCTGGCACTCTTTGGTATAAGGTATTCGAAACTGACGGTTGTAAACCATGTCTAACATGTGTTTTCTGGCCTAAAGTTATTTGCATTTTTATGCAATTTTCACCTGATTCATTATCAAAGACAATAAAGAGTTAAGTGTTAACAAATGTCTGTCTCAAATCCTAAAACCTACACAAATATTTGATCAAATCATCAGAATAAAAGCAAAAAATAGGCTCGCTCTTCCTATTTGCAACTTAATCGCTAGATTATGTTTTGTACCCACCAATCGCATTTAATCTGAGAAATTCAGACCCACTTTAATCTTCTTCGTATGCGATAACCATTCTCTTTTGACCCGTATTGTCCAACACGGAATCTAGAGACATTCACCAAGCCTGGCTCACCGATTGCTCCAGAAGAAGCTAAAAATCGATGCCAGCGAATGACTTTCTTTTGATTCTGTGAGCTAATTTGTTGGCTATATTTATTTAACGGAGTGCAAGGAATATAAGAAAGAATCTCCAACTTAAGGAATGTTTTAAAGCATTTGCAATATGGTTTATAAAGAATATTAAAAGAATTTTGTACTAATATAGTGTGCCCAGGCAAGACATTGTTTACATATTAGTAAGACCTTACTGTGTGTAGGTAGAAGTACTTAAATGTATTAAATCCTGTTTTAATTCTATAGAATAATAATAATAATATTGTATAAAAAATAATATTAAAACCCATATTAATACGACATTGATGAAATAACCGAAAATTAGCTCTCTCAGGTTCTTAAAGTGTTCTAAAATTTCAAGTTTTTTAAGATATTTCCAAAAGTTGTATACAAACCAAGGAAATACTTAAATGAGCATTTATCCAGCTTTCTTTTGAAACACAAAATACAGACTTAAATTGAAAAATAACTAAAATATTAAATGCTAAATGTACGTATTTAAAAAACACCGAAAACTGCAAACTTTAATGCTCTCAAAAAATGCTTTTTATAGCAGAAAAGTGTTTTATATATTAAATTAGCTGCGAGTTGCAGGGGACTTTTCAAGTAAAATGTGTGGGTGGAGATCTTCTTGTATTAGCGGGCACTGCTCGGCCACACTCAATTTGATTAAATTTGTCGACTTCAAAGGGTTATGGAAAAGCGGAAATAAGATTATTTCATATTGAAGTGGCACCCCCTCGTGTCTCTCTTTCACCTCCTGCCTTTTCTACCTTTCTCTTGTGGGCCCAACCAAACCCCACTCACCTTTCCATTTAACGTGGAATGACAAACACAGGTTGACGGATGGATATATATAACATCCGCACACCCCGACCCCCTGTGTGTGTGTGTGTTAGTCTTTGTGTGTGCGATTGTGTGTAGGTCAAGTGCAGGCGTTGACAAATTGTCGTCGGTGTTTGCGTTTGCGTGCTGTGTTTTTGCACAATCCTTGTTGCATTTGACAGGCGATGGCATAAAATAACAATAATGATGACAGCACCTGGCCTGCACTCGAGCGCCATCTATCCGGTGTCATTCCTCCTATTCCCCCAACCATCACCACAACGCCACCTGTCTTTGGCCATCGTCCTCACAACAAGAGTCCATCTTCTGACCAGTGTTGTTAGAATTATATTAGAAAAAAATATATAGTATTTGTTTTTCTTTTGTTATGAAAGTAAAACCAATATTTGTAATAAATTGTGGGTGCCTTATTTTATTTATTACAAATGATTAAAGTGCTCATATGACATAAATGTATATGACAATTTTATCAACAAATCAAAATTTAGGTAACTCATAACTAAGCCAAAAAGCATTCATTTCGATTCGGAAAGCTGTCCTATGTTAGTTTTTATGGGGTTATTAAATCTGCATACTCAATTAAAAATGTCAAAAAATTTAAAATTTTTGACAATTTTTGTACATTTTGACCAAAAAAAAAATAAAATTTTTTTAAATTTAAAAAAGAATTTTTCTGCCATATCATAGCTAGATCAACTCGGTTGTTTATGCTGATCAAGAATATATATGATTTATAGGGTCGGAAATGACTCCTTCATATATATTTATATTTTCTCTTTCTTGTTAAGAAAAATCTTGCTGGAATTTGTTATATTTATATATAATTCTTAATAGTTTTAAAATTGACTGCAAAAGAGCCAAGTGCACAGTACTTGGGCAGGCGATTATGGCGCGTGACGTCAGCACTGAATGTGCTACGTGCCGATGTCCCTGCCCTGCCTCTGCTAGCTTCACTGCTGGCGTCGAATTTCACACGCTGCAACTTCAGCGGCAATTGTTATTGTTATTGCCTCTGTTGTTGTAATTGTTGGTGTTGTTGTTGGAATTGTTGTAATTCTTGTTGTTGTTGAGTTTTGGGTCTTCGGGTTTTGGTTTTCGGTTTCGTTAGTCTCCTTTTGGCTTTTTGGCTTCTCGATGCTTCCGCTCCGAGAACAGGTGACACATGAGAGAGAGAGCAGACAGAGAAAGAGAAAGAGAGAGAGAGAGAGCTGGGAGTGGGTGGCTCTCACCAACAGCTGTTTGTTGTTGCCGCTGGCACTTGTTGTTCAAAGAACTCGTTGTCGATGTCTCCCCCTTGGCGCAAAGTTGTTGCATTGGCCACCTGATATTTAACAAATAAAAATAAAAACAAAAAACCAAGAAAAACTCTAGACCTTTCCCTATTTTTCCTCATTTTCCATGTACTGAAAGCCACCCTTAATCTGCTTTTTAACAACCCAAAAGTATTTCATAAGAAATTCACGGAAAATTACTGAATTTTAGGCAAGAAATTCAATAAATTATTCAGTTTCGTTGGGAATTTTTATAGGGAAATATGTTGTTTTATGTTGAAACATCACTCAATCACTAAGTGCATAATAAAAAACGCCAATCAATAGCTAACAAGTTAGAGTTTAATTGCAATAAAAATTAAGAGCAAAGCAACTTAACAAATGCAAAACAAAAACACAAAATAAAATATATAAAAGCCAAAACGCCAGCATAAAATACCATAAAACTCGGAGCAACTCAACTCAATTTAATAATAATAATTCTAAATAATAATTAACTCACAAAACAAAATAAATCGCCAGGAAAACGTCGCAAAATCGTGATAAATATATATAATAAGTGCGAAAAACTCTCTAAAACTTTTCGCGCAAAATGTGTGTGTGTATTGGGTGTGATTTTTCCTAATTTTCATTCATAATTTTGCAGCAAGCCAAATGAAGAATTTAAATAACTTTAAATAACAAAAAAAAATAAAAATAAAAACGGAGAAAAGAACGAAAACTGTTGAAAAAATTCAATGAAAATAATAAAAGTTGCCTTAACAATGAAACTTCCTTGTTGACATACATATATACATATACATATATTATACAAAATAAAAATACATATACAGTATACATAATATATACAAGAAGCGCCTATTATATATACACAAGCGACGATATATGTACAAGAAACAACCTAGCATCTAATATATATATATATATATATATATATATATATACAAAAACACATATATATCGATATATATATTTTGTATACGAGCGGCAACGCAGGGGATATTGTTAAGATCGCCGATCGAATCGAAGATGCGCCTAAAAGAGACCACTAAAAAATCGGCAGTAGTAGCAGAAGCAGCAACAACAAAATCCGCCGCCGTGCACAGTCCGCTGCTTCCAACCAGCGATCTGGTTCAGCTTCAGCTACATCATCAATTGCCGCTCTCCCTGCAGCTTCAGCAGCAGCAACATCATCATCTGCAGCACCAACAGTTGCATCATCATCATCTGCAACAGCAGCAGCAATTGCAGCAGCAACGCTGCTCCAGCGTGGGCAGCACCAGCAGCAGCGGCACCTGCGAAACGGATCGCTCCACACAGTCCGCTGCCCTCTCGCCTGCCGCTGCTGGTATGCCGGGAATCCCCGGAATGCCTGCATTGCCCAATCTAAACGAATCAGGATATCCAGGAAGAAGCAGCATGCAACCAGGAGCAGCAGCAGCAACAGCGGATGAGGCAAACGCAGCGGCCGCTGCTGCTTTGGCTGCCAACATTGCCGAATCGTTTACGTTCCTGCAACAGCATGCGGCACATCATTTTCGCGACATTTTGTATGCAGCCCACATGCTGGGAAGAGGTAATGGAGTCCACCATCTCCTCCAGTTTTGGTGGGGAAAAGGGGTAGGGGGGCAGTGGTAGGAGGGAGGGATTGTTGCACGACCAGCTGCTGCTTGGTGCTATTCCGTAAAGCAAAACTGGAGCCGCTCAACTGGTTTCGCTTGCTCGCTGGCTTGCTTTTTTTTTTTTTGCTTTTTCGGCCAGGCCAACTTTCACTTTATGCATTGTTGCCGTACTTCACTTCACCTTACTGCCACTTCCCGCCCCCTTCTTGTCTTGATTTGTACAGTAGAGGCTCCCTAGGATGGACAGATAGGAGCTTGCAGTTTAAAGTCCTTTGAAAGTTTTAAAGAAACATAGAAGAGAGAGTTTTCAAGCTAGGGATCTTCATGTAACTTGGTTAACACACATGATTTGTTGTTGCAATCTCAAAAGAGAGCTCACAATCTATTGTAAGTTTTAAGTCTTTAAAAAAAATAAGCAGTAGCTTTAACTTTACAGCTGTTGGAGTAGTTTTCAACAAAGTTGTTGGAGTTGTTGGAGTATTTTCGAAAGAAAGCTCTCCCCTTATATCAATCAATCTATAGAGCATAAGAAAATCTTATATATATGGCCTAGAAACCTTAAAGCTATAAAGATTCTTCACAAAATAAAAAGGAGAACCTTTAATAAGATTTCCTCACAAAGCATGATACTTTTCTCCACTCAATTCCTAAACCATTTCTTCATTATTTACAACATTTGTAGGCCATCTTGAATAAGCCTTATTAACAGTGTTGTAAAGCAATATTTCCTCACCTCTAGTTGTAAGAATAAAGCTTGTAAGCCAAACTAATCCATTATTTTCTCTCATCTTTTAAAGGTTACTATCAGCCGGCTGGACCGCTGATCTCGCCGCATGTGATTGCCGCCCCGCCACCGCCGCCGCAGGTAAAGAAGCTGCAAGAGGAGGAGACCACCTCCTCTGCTGGATCACCCACACAGTTGCAACAGCAACAGGCAGCCGCCGAGGCCGATCAGGCAGCTCAAGCTCAGGCACAGGCTCAGGCTCAGGCCCAGACACAGGCACACACACAGAGTCCACAGCAGGCACAGCATCCGCCACAGCCACAGCCGTATCCGGCCAGCGCCGTGGCGGCCGCTGCTGCTGCAGCCGCCGCCCATCCGGGCGTGCCCTATTCCCGCTCAATGCACGCGGCCCAGATCCATTACTCGACCGCCTATCCGCCCAACTATTACGCGCCGTATCCGGGCGAGGTCATGTGCTACTCGTCGCCCACCTATCAGCCCTATTTCTCCAGCAAGGTCTATCAGCCAGGGCCGCCACCGGGTCCGCCAACACATCATCCGCAAGGCCATCATCCGCAGGGACCGCCGCCACCGCCGCCGGGTGCCTATCGTCGCTATCCGTACTATCAGCACGCTGGTCCGCATCCGCCACCAGAGCTCTACGAGCAGCAGCCCCCACCGCCGCCGCCGCAGCCGCCAACCTCTGCATCTGGTCCGCCGCCACAGCAGCAGCAACCGCCAACGAGCAGCAGTTCCGCTGCAGCTGCAGCAGCCGCAGCAGCAGCGGTCGCAGCTGGAGCACCAGCTGGCAGCCAATTGGTACCGGCACATCAGCAGCAGCAGCAGCAACATCAACAGCAGCCGCAACAGCAGCAGCATCTGGAGCATTATCCAGGACCGCCCAGCTACTACGCCGGGTACAGTCCCGGAGGAGGAGCGGCCGGCGGTCAGTGCTACACGCGCGGACTGCAAGGACCGTATATGGGTAAGGAAAAGTATGGTCCAGTCCCGGATGCAGTTTGGCCAATAAAATGTGTTTGCCAAAAAAGGGTTAGCCAGAGGAGGAGTTTTTAAGTAAAAATGGAAATTGGAAAATGCAATTGAATTTGGATTTAAAAGAAATATCTTAAAGAAACACTGGAGACTCTCTCGAAGCCTCTTTAAAAAGAAACAAGAGATATTAATAGAAGTATTATATGTTTAGGTAAAAGGTTTTTTAGCAAGGTTTTAAGAAAGATTTCAATAATGAGTCAAGCTTCTTATATTTCTTCTCTTCTTTTCGTAGTTTCTTATGAGATTTATCAGAATTACATGTCTGTATAAATAATTTAAAAAACAAAACATAGATTCATTGTGTACTGAGGAATAATTAATAGTGAAATGGAAAGCTAAACTATGAGAAAAGTCGAGTAAAAATAAAGAAAGACAGAAAATCACAAATGCAAATTCATAGAAATATACTGAAAAGTGAAATCGAAACAGACTGTAAAAATAATGTAATTGCACTTGTCTTCTAAGAAAATGATTAATAATACAACTTGACTAAGCTTAGTTCGCTTTTTCTCTTTAACTCGATTTCTGGCTAATCACACTTGGCAACACTGACTTGGAAGATCATTTATATTAATACTTTTCCCCTTTAATCCCTCCTACAGAATATCCGCCGCAGTGTCCCTGCCCCATGCCTCAATCGTGTCCAAAAAACGTCCATACTGGGCCTCATATTGGTAGCAACATCAGCAGCAACAACAACAATATCGATCAGATCAGCAGCAAGAACAGCAGCAGCAGCAGCAGCTGCAGCAGCAACATGTTGCAGAGTGCCACGAGCAACTCCAACAGCAACAGCAGCAGCAGCAGCTCCATCTTGACTGCCAGCAGCAACGCTATGACAACAACTACAGCGTCAGCGTTGACTACCAGTAGAGGCCCAGTGAAAAATGTCACCACCAACACAACACCAATACCAACATGCAGCAGCAACAGCAACAGCAACACCATGAGCATCAGCAACAGCAACAGCAGCAGCACCCAGACAAGCGAGACAAGCACTCGAGCAACTGCAGCAACCAATACGACATGCAGCACGGCAGCAACCACAGCCACCACTGGCACCCAGTGCCAGATGCTGGTCAAGACAGAGCTCAAAGGCGAGGATGGCCAAGAAGTGACCAAGATACAATATGAGGCACATGTCATGCCACCGCCCACGCCGCCAGAGAGTTACTGTGCCGGCGATGAGAAGTTGCTCGAAGAGCAGGATCATGAGACAGAGCTGGAGCTAAGCCTTGGCCTGGGGCTGGGGTTGGAGAAGCAGCAGCAGCAGCAGCAGCAGCACATAGAGGCATATGACCTTACCTGCAGCACGCCGCCACCGGCCACAGCGACCATACATGCTGCAACAGTGCCACGCAAGGCAAGGATTGGCAAGAGCATGGCCAGAGAGATGGTGTATGCTGCAGCACAACAACAGCAGCAGCAGCAGCAGCAACAGCAGCAACAGCAAAAGCATCAAAAACAACAGGAGGAGAAGCAGAAGCAGGACACGGAAGCGGAACCAGAGTTGCCTTTTGTACTTAAAGCGGAAATCAAAGCAGAGACCAAAATCAAAATCGAGCACGACGGTGAGGCGGAGGCCAGCACACATATCAGCCAACTGCCGGACCTCAAGCCCACTATCAAAACGGAACCCGAGCAGGAACTAGAGCCGGAAACGCAAACGCAAACGCAGCATCAGGTGGCGTCAACGGTAACAGAAATGGAACTAACGTCACACGCACCTGTGGCTAAAATAGAACCAGAGCAGGAGGAGGAGCTGGAGGTGGAGGTGGAGGAGGAGCAACCCATGCCAGGTTGCAGCAAGCAACGCATCAACCTATTGACCTCTTCGACTGGTAACAAGAAGACCAAAACTCATCACAGCTACAAGAGCCTAATCAAGCAGGCAGAGCCCAAGAATTACCTATGTCCGGGACGCACTTTTGTGCGTCGTCATGGCCGGACTCCTTCCAAGTTCACCAAGCGCCGTCAGATAGTGCTTGCGCAGCGACAGCAGCAAAGGATACGAATGCAGCGACGCGAACGGCAGCGGCAACGTCGTCAGCAACGCGAAGCTGATGAGGCAGCAACTGTGGCAGCAGCAACAGCAGTTGCAACAGTGACACCAGCAGTGGAGATGGGAACACTGCCTTCCACATCAGCTGCGGCTACCGAAACCATCAGCGGCAAGGAGGAGCAGCCCAGCAGCACTAAAGCATCCACATCCTGCGCTTCGCCCAAGAGGGCACGTCCCCGCAAGCAAGAGATTGCTGCCCTTCACCTGATCGAGGGCCTGGACACGGCTCTGAGCCGCGGGTACTTCAGCGATCCCGAACTGAATCACAGCAGTCGTGGCAAGGCGACCACAGCGGTGGGTGGTCTCTATGCCGCACCCTCACCGCTGCTGGCCACCAATGCCAGCACCAGTCAGGCGGCAGGTGAGAAGCGTTCCAAGTCAGAGACCAAAAAGCCCGCCGAGGCAGCAGCACAACCGGCAGCTAAGAAGCCACGCAAGCAGGCTGCAAGTACCAAGGCCAAAAGCAAAGGCAAAAAGGCCACAGGAGCGGCAGGGACAACAGCAACAGTGGTGCCTTCAACTGCAACTGTAGGAGAGGCAGGAGAAACCATGCCTCCCCAAGAGACCAACAACAACGAGTACCAGACAACAGATTTGCAGGTGCAAAAGTTTGGTGAAACCTCAGGTGCCGCTGCATCAGCAACCTCTCAGCAGCAGCAACAACATTCCGATGAGCAGCAGGACTTGTTCCTGGCACCGTCAACATCTGTTGCTCCGCCAGTGACCAATCCTCCGCCCACACGCCAAGGTCAGGCCACAACACACACAAAACGTGCCCGATCGCGTTGCAAGTTTGGCAATCGTAAGCGGCAGAAGCAACGACCCGGAGGCGTTAGTAACGAACTGGATGAGACACAGCCACCGGCAACGAGGGCCAATGTGGTGCCCAAGTGGAATAATGGTTGGATGTGGTCAGGGACGGCCTTCCAGGGTGCCGTGTTCCTCAATGTGAGTTTAGTGATTTAGCTTGGGAGTATCTTATAATAATATCTATTAATTATATAGAGCGATGATCCTTTGGTGCTGCGCACCTGCTATCCAGCCATGCGTCATGTGGAGGGCGATATTATACGCACCCGCGACTGTGTACTGCTCAAGGCTAATGAGGATAATGAGCTGCCGTATGTGGCCAAGGTGGCACATCTCTGGCAGAATCCCGAAGATGGTGAGAGTCATTAGCTCTTAAATATTGATTAAATAATTAATAATCTGTGTAATTTCTTTTAGGTGAAATGATGATGTCTTTGCTGTGGTACTATCGTCCAGAGCACACAGACCGTGGACGTCAGCGTAATGATTGTCCCGATGAGGTATATGCCTCACGTCATCGCGATCACAACTCGGTGGCCTGCATCGAGGACAAGTGCTATGTGCTCACCTTTAGCGAATACTGCAGGTGAGTTAGCTCAAAGATTTAGGGAATTTCCTAGCAAATATTTAAATATATATATATATCCTTTTCTGTTCAGATATCGTCGTCGCCTACGTGCCGCCGAGGAGGATGTGGAGGACACTAGCATTGTGCCACGCCGCCCGAGCAGCGGTCAATGCCATTCGGTGCGAACGGTGCCAGATAATACTAATCCGGAACTGGTAATGTTCTGTCGACGAGCCTACGACTTCCGGACACGACGCCTGCTCAAGTTGCCCCACAAGAACGGGCTCGCGAGCAACTCCAGCTAGCGCAAGGCCTGAACCACGCTCGAACCGGATGTTGGATGGAGTGTTATAGGGACATTAGCTTAAAAGGAAGTGGAGCAAAAGAGAAGATGAGCCCTGACAGAGAAGTAATGGGGGAAATAACATTGTTTTGATCAGTCTACAGTCTACAAATATTGTTAAAGATACATAATTTTTTTTTTGTTTTTTTGACGGGGTCTTTATTGTTAAGAGATGAAGATGAGAGAGAGAGAGAGAGGAAAAAGGACACTGGTCATTCGTTGTTCCTAAACAAAATTTCGATTGCGACCGGTGACCAATGTTTCCTTACCCAAACAAAAAAAAAAAAAACAGACACACACACAAGCGAGGACACTACCTCTGTCGGGGCGGGTTATGAGACACACCAGGACACACACAACATACACAACACACCCTCATACACACACATGACCAAAATGTAGGCAAAAAATGTAAGAATCGTAAGAAACGAGCTAGAATGAGAGATGAGATGGGAACATGTTTGGGGAGCAACTGCTATGAAGAAGGCATTCAATATTTTGCATTGTATTACATAATTTATTTATTCCAACTATTCCCCTCCCCATCCACTACCACAACCAACACACACAGACAAACACACATGGATACTTTTGTTATTAAGTTGTATGTATTTATTATCATTATTAGCGAGTTAGTCAACATTCTGTGTACAGATTTCCGTTCGCACTTTGCCTGAAATGATATCCTTGCAAAATGATATATTATATATATTATATTATATCTATAATATATTCAAATTTATATTATATTTATAGATATAATGTATACAATTCCTTTTTTTAAAACAGTTTATAATTTAACTTCAAATATAAATCTAATTAGTAGCTGCATTTTGTCAGCTTTTTCCTGAATATCTTTCGAAGTCGATCTTTAAGAACCCAAATGAAGACAACAAATTTCTGTTAAGTTTTTTAGTAAACCCACTAAACAGTATTTTCAGCAAGAAAAGGCTTGTCTTTACTTGAAACAATTTTTTACAGACAATTTTTGAAATCCAAATTGAATTAAAAGTTTACAAAAGAAGTATAAAAAAGATGGAATACCTGATAAAAAAGGAATCTAAAGATCCATTCTTTGGGAAAATAAAAGAATATTTTCCCTCTTGATATTCAGAAAGGTTATTTATTATTTTTTCTACCACAAAAAGGAGCAACTCCAGTTTATAAAATACGTTATTTTTTTTTTGAATTAAAGCCCAATGTAAAAGCACTTTCTAAATTGAAAGAAACAATTTTCTGTACACTTTGCCTTCATAAATAAGGCCATCCAAAATATTCTGTTTTTTCTGCTTCTACTCAGTCCTATTGTATTCGATTTGAACTATTTCATTCCTCCTTTTCTATAAATCTATTCCCCATATTCACATTCAACATCAAATCGAAAACAGCAAAAAGCAAGATTGGCAAAACAGAATACCAAAATCGTACAATTTGCAAGGATATCAATAGCTTTGGGCTTCTCTTTCCAAACTTATACTCAATTTCGGAAAATCCAACCTCCCCTCTATATAGGTGTATGTTTAGAGATATTTTATAAGATGATGCTTATAAACCTATATTGATGCTCAGGCAAAAAAAAAAAACAAAAAACACAAAACACACACTTTGCGCACAGACGATAGACCAACTTGACTCTATATAAAAACTCTTTGAAATGAGATTTCTGGCTCCTAAAGCGGAAAATGGAATGCTTGACAAAAGAAATCCTTTTAGGCGCTGTTTATATATATATTATATATCATAATTTATTATATATGAATATATATATATTTTTTTAGTTGTTGTTAGTTTTTGTAAGCAACTGTAAACAAAGAAAAATTATCCCTCTTTCTTCACCCTTAATTTTTTTTTGTTTTCCTTTGAATTTTGGAAATTTAATTTCAGTGAATATTTGTTGCTCTTCTGTTTATTTTTAATATTCAGATGCAAACAAGAGTAAGAGAGAGAGAGAGAGAGAGAGAAAGAAAACAAAAACAACAACAAGTCACATTATTAATATACTTATATTATATACGTAGTTGTAAACGTATAAATATCCTAATTTTTAAATGAAACCATTTTTTTTATATTAATTATAATTTAGTTGTAAAGCTTAGCATTTGCAAATAGTTTTGTTTTATACCAAAAACACTGAGAAAAAAGAAAGAAAGAAAGAACTTATTTATGCACACACCCTACACCCACACACACACACATACATCTATGAACATGTGTATAATTTTCTAAATATAAATGAATTATATGTATTATTTTTTAAACCAACTCTACCTGTTTTTATTTTATACTTCTTTCGGAAAAAAGGTGACTTAAATGCATTGGGAGCTGGATTACTTGGGGTCAAAGGGCGATATATTATATCAGGTATATATATCTGTTACGTATTTATATATATATCAGTGATCGGGTTGAGATTGTTTCACTGAAAAATGTACAAACTTCTTTAGAAGTCAGATTATCTCATTGATCACTGATCATTGATATATATGTATTACCTATTGATATATATATACCTATATATTATATATATTCCCGATTGACCGGTTGATAAGGGCGGTGGTTAGCTGTAGGCTAGTAGGCATGGCAAACGTTTATAGAGAGCTATGGCCAAAGCAATGTAGGATGCTTTTGGTATAGAAATGTGCAAAAATGATAGAAAGCGTATATAACATATACATATACATATATAGGGAGCATAGCCAGACAAAAAACATATGAATATATACAGTGAAACAGGAACTCTCTCACACACACACACATACACTCGAAAGAAAAGGATCCACTAAAATACGTATGTATACCTAGAAAGGACGACGAATGAATTCAATTAGTGAAAAATCAGAAGAAGCAAAAAACAAATTGTAGCCTAAATTACCAAGAACAAAACATTATATTTGTATGCCACATATATATATATAAATAAAAATATATATATACACAATACATATACCAAAATTCAAGAAAACACACACACACACATATACATATATATATTTCTATAGGCAACTTGAAAGGAACAACAGCAGAAACCCAATTCAATTCGATTTGTATTATAGAGTATATATACAGTCAAGCCCCATTAACAGGAACACACAAAGGACACACTTAATGCGTCCAGGATTCAATTAAAAAAAGGGCTTTTTTCCCCCCGGTTTCCCATTCTGTTTTAGCGAAACTTCTTTGAATATTTATATTTAGATTTCAAAACCACTCAACAAAATCATTTCCAATATATATAAACTATAGTTAGTTGTACTACATCTGTAAGCCACAATGTTCAGTTCCTTTCTTCCCCCTCTAGACTTTGCTTTAAGAAATACATTTTTTTGATTAAAATAAAAAAGGAAAATATAAAGAAACAACAACTACACCGGAGATAATGGAGGAGCTGCAATAAAAACACCGTGCAAAACATGGGGACACATGGGACATTAACCAGAGCAATACCAAAAACATAATAATAATGATAACAGGAATACAGAGCAGAGAGCATAAACAAAAGCAAAGATCAATAAAACAAATCCGATATAATTATTGTTTATTACTAGACAAATAAATGTATTTTTGGCAGATTAAAACAGAGTCTTATTAATGTGTGTTTTTTGGAAAGGGTATCCTTGGGTTTTATAGGTATTGTATTATAGATTTTCTGGCCTCGACCCAAACCATACCAAGTTCACACGCTGTTGCAATTAAAGCCAACAATCAGGCACAAAAATCTGTTAACGAAATAACCTACAATGGCATTGTAACATAAGAATTAATTTAAGGTCGTTGTTGAATTTATTTACTGAAATTTATTGAAAAGAAAGTATTTACACATTTGGAAATTTAAAAAGAAAGTAAATACTTGTAGCATTCAGTGAGTCGAATTTAATATCAATCATAACTAAACCTAAAATTGAATAATTTCAATACGGAAGATGTTTCTGTGCTAGTTTTTAATAATTTTATAATTCTGCATACTAAATTAAATTTTTTTTTAAAATGAAGATTTTTTGTTTGAACAATTCGGAAAATTTTTTTTAAATTTGTTTTCTCAGTATTTTTTTTATAAATTACTTGGGATTTTCATGGCGAATCAAAAAATATATGCCTTTTAATCATCACTTTCTTTTTGGTCGTCTTATGCCCTAACAAAAATCCTAACTATTCTTATTTACGTCGATAATTATCGATATTTTATATGATACCTTTTTAAACAAATCAAAAGCTTAAAAATTACATAACTAAGCCAAAAAAGCATTGAATTCAATTCGGAAAACTGTTCTATGCTAGTTTTTAATAGATTTATTTATCTGCATACTGAATTTAATATTTTAAAAATTAATTTTTTTTCGAATTTTTTTGCAAATTTTAACGAAGTAACCCCTTATAAAATGTTGAACAAATTTACTAAAATTTTTTTCTTTGAAACTAAGCTAGATCGATTCGGCTTTTCATACTGATCAAGAATATATATGATTTATAGGTTCGGAATCGACTTCTTCACTGATTAAAATTCAAAAAACCTTCTGAAAGAGTACAAAGTTTATATGAATTTTGACTAAATTCGAGTGAAGTGATTGGAGTGATTACAAAGGGGAAGTACAACAAGTGCAGTTTTGAGTTCTCAAGACAATTGCAGTTCTTACTGAGGCTATACAACCATTATTAACCGGTTTTAATACCCACGATATATTATTTTATAGGGTGTTAGTTTCAATAAGATGGAGTCAATCTAAAATTAAAGCTAAATTCGGTTTTTTTTTATCCTTAGAACGTGTTTTTAAACATGGAAACTATCTTTCAAATCGAATATACATATTATATATTAATAGTTTGTAAATATTTGATTTTTGTTTTAAGTTTCCCCTATTTAAAATATAATGGAAGCTATTTAGTAGAGGTCTCTTACACCTGATAGCTACATATGTCTTCCCTGTGGTAATGATTTGGATTTGTTAAATCGTCACGCCCCCTCTAGCACGTAGTAAACCTGGGAACTGAGAACCGAAATCAAAAGTGATCCAACTTTGACATTGACATGGAGCTAAGTAGTCGACAAACAAACAAACACACACACGACATCTTATGGTCGGGGCAATTAAGTTAATCGGTGCGCAATTTGCTACCGGGGGGTTGGGATTTGAAGGAAAGTTGTTGGATCGTGTCATAAGTATATATTTATACACGAAAAAACAAAGATGATATGAGTGTAATAATACACAGAAATTGGTAAAGTAACTTACAAGTTTATATTTATTTAAATATTATCTCTGGGGAACCAAAATGAAATATTTATTTTATAAGATGAGCATACTTTGCTTGATTTAATCAATACATAAGTATGGATCTTTTTTTTACATACTTTTATTATTGGTTTTATAAAAACCTTTCAACTTGTTTATTTGTAGTGTATGATAATTAGCAAGTACATGATGCCTGTCTCACTTATCTCTCCCGTATTTACATGTTCAGCATATGTACAAAAGCATTCTGGGTTGTATCTTTCGGGTGCCGGATGAGCTCATGGAGCTCACCCTGTGACTCAGTTAAATTGGTCCAAATAAATGCTTTGTCAACAGGTGTTCCCTTCAATACCATATATGTTTTTATTTTCGTGTTCTGATGTTATTAGTGTTTTTTCACTTTTTTTGGAAAGGAGCCAATTACAGGGGCGTGGGTGGGCGTGTTTTACGGAAAAGATGACGTGCCTTAAGTTCTTAGTCACTTAAACAACGCAGCTGCGTGTGAAGCAATAATCATTTTGATTTTTAGCAAGTCGAGAAGCTAAAATTTGATATTAATAGCCATAAATTGAATGAAACACTTAAAGTTGTTTTAAATAAGTACAAAAAAGAAGGTAAAACCAGAGTTTAGAAAGGCTTATTAAAGACACAGTTCCTAATACAAGAAAGTAAATATATAAAACAAGTAAATAGATCACTCAATTGAATGATATAAAAGCGAGAATAAAGGGAGAACTTGTATATGATATAGAAATATTTGTAAACCTTTAAAACCTTACTTAATAGTACACACCAATCTCCCTTAAATAAATATATATTAATTCCTTAAAAAAAAAGAAAAGCTATATGAATCAACCCAAAACCCTTCGACTTTTGCATTGTAACTTATAACTTAATAGTTCTCTAATGATGAGAGACTTCAATCTGTAAATTGCAAACAAAAAACACGATTGTTTTGATTTCAACTTTTCTCTTTTAATGAACAATTCACACGTTTGTGTAATTTACATAAATTAAGCTTAGAAACTAGGTAAAAAAAAAACTTCCCGCGCTGCAAACCGCATCAAAGTCTCCTGACCATCAAGGTGAGGCCAAGGGCCATGGCCAAGGTCATCATCACACCCGTCGTCGACGTCATTGTTGCTCCTCCATTGCGGTATCCATAAGCGCCCGGATAATTGGACTCCGGCCGGATTCCGCCCATATATCCACCAGCCTGGTTGCCATACGAAAAGGGACGTCCATGCTCATCTGTGCCACCTACATAGTAGGCACCATTGCCACCAGCTCCACCGTAGGTTCCTCGTGAATCAATCCCTGCATATCCATAGCTGTACTGTGGATCCTGGGCTCCCAAGCTGCCTGGCGGATGCATTCCACCCGATTGGGCATTGGACCAGGCGCCCACGCCAGCCGAGTTGCCATTATTCCAGTGTACTGTTCCAGCTTGTCCCTCAACTGTGGGAAATTTGTAAGGAAAATTACTTATACTTTATAAACGGTGATGTTCTTAAATACGCTGGGGTATTTTTTCACCATAAATCTACCACAAACGTATTATCTTTATTCTGTTATCCTAATATTTTGACGATTTATCTTTTTTGGCCTTTTAATTTGTTAAAAAAAGTGTACATTTAAATAGTTTTTAGGACACTTGAAAGCTAGGCTCATTATTTATAATTTTAAAAGAGAAAGCCGTTTGTAAAAATCAAGACATTTGCCTTTTTTCGCTTTCCCTAATTATTTTCACAAATACCAATTTGTTATCTTAAAGCAAGCTTGCTGCTGTTAACTTATTAAAAAATAAAGAACAAAACAAAAAAAATATATATAATATAAAATATGTATATATATATTCACAATAATATTTAAGCCGCTTTTAGGGCTTTTTGGTAGATGTATTATTTATTATTACTAGATATTATTTAACGCATTTGTTATCCATATTTTAGTTTTGTTGATTTAAGAATATCCATTTAGTATTGTGAATTTTGAGTTTATAGCTTTGTAGTTCCGAAGTTTTATAAAAGTTATCATGTATCTGTTATTTATTTAGTTTTTAGTTTTTCTATCCAGAAAAGTAACTATTTTTCCGCTTTCCTTAAATTTTTGCCTTCATCGGAGACTGTTATATCCATTTTCAAAGTCTCTCTCTCTTTATGTAAGCCGTAGCTAATTTCGTGTAAGCCGTTTTCCACGTAAACGAACCAATTTGTTGCATTTATTTCTACACATATCGCTTGGGGGATTTTCCTTTACGCTTTTCCGACTTTTCTCCGCCACTCACCCGCACTGAACCTGGCCAGTGCCAAGCTGATCATCAGCACTGCTGCACTGCCACTCAAGAATCGATTTGAAATGGACATGTTTACCGCTGGATTGCTAAGCTTCAACTAAACCGCTGCCGGAGCAACGTTGACGGTTTTAAACCCGTTTTTACTCTGTCGGTAAAAAAACAAAACCAAATAACTTAATCGCCGTTTGCTTGTTGTTGTTGCTGTTGTTAAACCGAGTCATCATCAGTAGTAGTTGTTGTTGATTTTAATTGTTTACTCAGTCAATTTTTGGGCGGAGTGTTGTGACTCGACTTTGGGGGGAGAACTGACTTGTGATCGACATAAGTACATAAATATTTAGTTGCCAGAAAGGGGAGTTTTCCCTAATGACAAATTATAGATTACTTAAAGTTGTAAATGTTAAAATTATGGGGAGAAAAAAGTTAAAACAAACTAGTTTCAGAGTTTTCAAAGCGAAGAAAATGATATTTAAAAGTGTGCAATATTTTGGAGTGTTCTTTAAAAGGAAAGACAAAGGCACAGGGAAGAATCTATTATAAATTAATATTATTCCTATTTATGGTTTATTAATAATTATTATATTATTTATATACTGTAATTTATTGGCATTTAAACTGATTTAATCAACAATTATCTAAGATTATGCTGCAAAGCACTGTCTCTTTAAGTTTAAACAAAAGTCTTATTAATATTTCCTTTACCCTAATTTCAATTATTAATTACAGGGCATCCACTAAGTCGCTATATTTCTCTCTCCCAAGCTATTTACAGCCAAAAGGGGTATAATTTATTTTCAAATACAGAACACGCAAATTGATGCAATGTAAAGTTGATGCGGTTAAAGTGTTCGCTCGACGTGAGAATCGCAACTTGAAGTCTTATTTCGTTTTCGTTTTATTTATATTTTCCGGTAAAGAACACGTTAATTTGTTGTTGATATGCACGACTCTGGCCAGGGTCAACAAGGGGTTAAGAGGGCTGCCAAATGTTGGTTTATCCCAGAACAGGTGAGACATCTCCACAGGAACAAAAAAGTGGACGAAAAACTAAGAAACATCTAACAACTTGGGTTCAAATATAAAAAATTACAGTGATACTCTGACTATACTGACTATAATGTTTGTTTAAATTATAGAACATTCTCTTATATTATAAATAATATAAAACTTAAACTTCTATATTATTTTCCTTCTGTGCAGAGCACTGCCTTTGAAGATCACCCGAATTGCATGCGACTCTTATTTTCTCGGTCAAATATTTTTCTCAAATTGTTTTCCCAACGATTCACACCTTTCAGGTAGGCAATATTATCGGCGTCATAACAATGCAGGTGCTTTGTTGCCTTTTGAAGAAAAACGATAGAAAACGAAAGGCAAAATGTCAACAATTGCTTGGGTTTTAGTGCAAATTTGCTTTCTCGTCGTCGCTTCTGTGACGTAAAATACCGATTTAGGTCGGCCAAGATATGGTAACAGTACGCGTGGAATCTATGCAACTATTTGGATAGTTTCTATTTTTGGGCTTTGCAAATTGGCTGGAAAATGTGAATTTCTTGAAAGGGAAACCACCCAGATGCATTTTTTGGAATTAAAAACAATAAAGAAAGCCTATCTCTGACTTTAATTTGAATACATGATTAAATATCAAATTAGAAGAAAATATGTTGAAAATTGGAAAAGTTTTTTATTGTATACCTGTGAAAAGGTGTTCCAATTTTAGTCAAAAGCTTGAAACATACTGAACAAATCATTTCCGACCCTATAAATCATATATATTCTTGATCAGCATCAACAGCCGAGTCGATCTAGCCACCTCAGGCAGTAAAAAAAATTAATGAATTTTTCGAAATTTTATAAGGGTTACATCGTTAAAATGTGCAAAAATTTGACAAAAATTTTAAATTATTTAAAATTGTAAATTGAGTATGCAGATTTATTAATCTAAAAAAAACTAAAATGGAACATCTTTCCGAATTAAGTTTAGTGCTTTTTTGGCTTAGTTATGAGTTTTTTAAACTTTGATTTTGCCAAAAAAAATAGCATATAATAGTGTTGTTAAATATCGATTCAAAGAATGCGAATATTTTAAGCTTAGTTATGATTGAAGTTAGATACAATCCCCTAATTCTCTTACAAACTGCAAAGTGTTTTAATATTGGACTTTAGCCACCGCTCAATTAAATGGCAGTAGATAGATTCTGTCACCTGTCCCACAGTCATGTTTATGCATCAGACCAGAAAGCTACGTGGCACTTGGGCCAACTGGATATCCTGCAGCGGCTCCTTGATCTCTAGTGCTCCACCGGTCACAGCGACAGCTTCCACGGAATTATTGATCCAATTGTCAGGAGCCTTGTCGGGGATCGGAGTTGGGCTTCCCTTCAAGCACTTCTGCACCTTAGAAGCTTGTTCTAACTGCTGCTGCACCATGGAAGGTCCTGTACGATCACATCGTTGATTACGAAGTCAGGAAACATCAAAGTCCGGCCACTGATTGATATTTTGATTTTGTTTGTTTTGTTTACATAAAGTTCTTTATAAGTCTGCAAATTCAGGGATGGCGAAACGGTGCATAGGCCTGTTCCACTTTCATGTTCCGAAACAGTCGAATGTTTTGAATGGTAAACAATGTGATTAAAGATAACTAATTGATTTTACACAGCGAAGATTTCCAATCACATTAGCTTTGTTTGGAAGGTCAAATTTGCACTTTCACTTTCAATTACGCATTGATCACTTGAATGCAGTCTTTTTCACACACTTTATTTAAATCACAAAAGTTTGGCACAATTTTTAACAACATAACCATAAAACATATATATTTGTGTATATATTTTACGCAAAAAATGTAACTCTGATTTTGACTTATGCATAATTAATGTGCTCGATGGAAATCGAAGTTTCTTCTGTGTCAAAACGTTTATAATTAAAATAAATATAATAAATATTGCCAAATTTGGCAGCTGGAAACAGCTGTTTCCATACAAATAGTTTATACATATAAATACCTACTGAATTTTAGGATAACCAGTGAGTGGCAATATAGTTCCTATAAATCAATATTTTGTGTGACTAAATATAACATTAGGAAGTTTAAATTAATTAAAGATTATAAACGAATGAATATATGTCCGATATTATCAATAATTCAATCATTGACTCGTAAAGATAGGTCCCTAAATATATGGTTTTATAATATTATTTTGTTAGGTTTAATGAACGTAATAAAAACAATAATAATATTGTAATATTTACATTTTAATTAAATGCAAATAGTACAATTATTCAAGATTCATAGAAAAATTAATAATTATTAAGAGTATGTAAACAATCAAAATAATGTTAAAATTATGTATAAACATGCTCGATAGTGGAAATACATTATGTTCTCTTCAAAGAAATATGCCCCACGTTGCACCTATCAAAGTGCGAAAGAAACAGCGCAACTTCCGGGCAGACTGCTTTTTAATCGGGTTTTAACGTTTGCCAACACTTGCGCGTAAGCTAATTTCCGGCGCCACTTCAAGCCCACACTCCGCATGGTGTACTCAGCAACTACCGCGAATATTTTGTTCTTAAACATGAAGCATTCAAAATGCGTGTTATGCCGCAACAGGGATAAAGACTAGTTTATCTTTGGCAAGTTGTTTAAGTGCGGGAGATATTACATTCATCGAAACTGCTTGGTAAGTTGACCCAATGAGGAAATAGTAATTTCCACTCAATTGTGTAATCCTTCTCCGGCGAACAGATCCAGGCACCGTACTGCCAAAATGGATGGTTTCATCGTAAATACGTCCAAGATCAATGCATGAAAGCGTACAATGCTTTCAAGTGTACACTTTCCAGGAACGAAAAGCAATTCGCGAAGGTTGCACTGTTCGGTGTTGCCACACCATACTGATAAGTTCAGCAGAAAAAACTAAGAAGCTTTCAAGTTAAATTTGTAACCCAAGCATTCATCACAGGCGTTGCAAGTTACCCGAATCACCAATATGGCTATTTAACGTATGGAACCCTATCCGAAGTCTTTCGCGCACGCGCAGCTTACCATAATAAACTCAACATATGCAGCAAGAGGAGGAGGAGGTGGGATACAAATCACAAAAGAAATATCACAGTACAAGCATTCTTATAAGAATATATTCGTTATAGCTTGTACTATTTTTGTTGCTTTTTGTTCAAATAAAAACTCAAAGTATGGGAATAATTTGTAAATATTATTGTGTTGTGCAAAGGGTAGGTATATTATTTATAAACTGAAAGGTAATAGGTAGACTTACTACCATAAAAAATATATACATAGGTGTATTAAAGGTTAATTGCAAGTTCACAAAAGTGGTATCTTTGTATAATAATAAATATTATTTTAGTCTGAATTGTGAAAAGCAGTGAAGGAGAAATATGCGATCCTATATCTATATACATTTATATTTAACTTTCGAACCCTTTTTAATACCATTGCAGAACAAAGTAAGCCTTAATTAACAACACTTGCAAACCCTAATTAAGTGTAATAATTTGTTACGAAACATGCGTTTAAGCACTTTTAAAAAAGCTTGATTCTTTAAATAGTAATTATGCTATAGTTAGGTCTAACTAAATAAAGAATTATATATATGTCTACACAAATTTTACCTCTTTTGCTGCACTGCTAAGTTTAAAAGCCCATTTTTTACATTCTTATGAACTATTTTACTACTTCTAACATAATAATACTTCTTTCTAAGATTCCTGAAGTAAAAGAAAAGCCAAAGCAGCGGGGAATATTATTCAGGAGTCACCGGAGTCTCGGCTTGGTGGAGAAGGAAAATTCTTGATGCCTCTGTATTCAACGGCTTTATATTTTTCTTTTTTAGGTTCAAAGGTGAAAAACAAGCCGAGAATGTGTTCTGTCACCCATATTAGGATGAATGTAGACACAGAGCCTCTTGTGTGGTTTTACAGGATAAGAAATATGATATCCGAGACCATACTTCTTTATAAAGAAAAGGAAGAACAAGTATAAACTTTTGTTAAAGAAAGCCCTACTCAATGTCAGTTAATTGGAAATAGACTTAAGTTTTTTAATTGTTACTCAACAATATAAATCTGTTATTTTCGGAATTTTGTATACCCCTTTAGAATATTAAAGGCTTAATTCTTGATTGCGTTTTCAAATAGCATAAGTTTTCAAAGGTTTATTAGACAAATGACTTTGGAAACAATGTTTTCCAAAACTGGCAGCTTCTTTGTTTGCTTATTTTTAAGTAAATAAAACACAAGTTTAATGTTTAAGATAACGACAAAAAAAACTTTTTACTTTATTTAAGTTAAAAAAAAGAAAAAATTACAAGTTTTAAATCTTGTTTATATATTATTCATAAGGCACTGTAATTGTTGCTCCAGTTGTATTTTTTTTGTGGTTGGTATTTATTCCGGTACCGTGTTCCAACTTTCCTCCGGGTTTTGTGTATGTTGTGTGATCTCAATTTTGGGATCTAACGCGAACGCGTGGGGCACGTCCCCTGTACCTAACAGGTGGGGTATGAATGATGCGTGGTCCACTGCCACGTCGATGTTGTTGTCCAGCAATGACGCTTTCGCGCGGTACAGCAGCATCCGGCGGATTGGGCAAAGCAAAGCGCCTGTTGAAAATTGTTTGGATTAAAAATGTAAACTCCCAAATTGCTAGTTTATTCCCTTTGAACTCACCACTTTGGTATGGCAACACCGAACAGTGCAACCCCCTCGAATCGATCTTCGTTCCTGCAAAGGGGACACTTGAAGCAATAGTTCGTCGCAATGGAATGATCCTGGACGCATTCACGATGAAACCATCCATTGTGGCAGCACGGTGCCTGGAACGCCAATGGCGAGCGAAAATCTTGACCATCCGGCACAACCGGAGCAAGGCAGAGGACACAATTCTCTCCCGGCTCAGGGCGAGTGCTAGTCTTCGGCACATGCTGTCCACAGAATGTATTGAATTTTCCATCATATTGAAGAAGACCCATATTAACAATGCCACACTTGGTGTGGAAATTACGCTTGCAGCCTCTGTGGCAACACGAGAGATTGGCGCCCATGCGATAGCAATACGAGCACGCGAACAAGCTAATGCGTTTCTTCTCAGCCGCCAAGTCCTTCTTGAAAAAGTTCCACATTCTATAGCCGGGATCGGCCCTCTGGAGAAATTGTCCCACACATAGGATCTGCTCGACCGGCGAGAGGAAGCACACACACAATAAGAGTGGCCTACTATTTTCCCCGAATCGGGGGTGTACTCACCAAGCAATTGCGATGCACAGTATTCTTTTCCTGCTTATCAAACTCGCCAAAGGTCACCTCGTCGTTCTCACAACTGCCGCACAGAATACACGGTTTATTCATATTTTGATCACTGAATTGAAAATCAAACACTTTCGATGACAAAATATTCGCAGCAAGTTCCGACCAAACGAAGCGAGGAGACCACGAAAAAGAGCGCCGGAAATAAACTCTTTCAACAGTGTTGGCAAACGTTAAAACGAGATCATATGAGAGAATATTCCTTTGTATTCACACCTTATTGTCTTTATTCACACTGCTAAGCATGAGGATAATGTATGTTTGTACTTAAATGTTTTTAATTCTGATGGTATCAGTAACATTCAGTTTTATTATTATGTTAATCTACAAATTAGTCAATTTGTAAGATAATGTAGAAGAAAAAATTATAAATTAAGCTTCTAGTTCAAATGTAAACATAATAATCCGCTATATTTTCATTATATGTCTTAAACCTTAATGTAAACAGTAAAGATATAAGAACTTGAAATGAAAATTTATAATCTGAGCTTCTAGTTCAAATTTAAATAAAAAAATCCGTTATATTTTCATTATGTAACTTAAACTTAAATGTAAACACTAAGATATAATGACTTGAATTTGATTGTGTTTCCACCATTCCCACAAGCTATTAAAAATTCAATATTATAAAAGTGCATTAAACATAAAACCTTAATATAAATATAATATAAACTAAATATTATATAAATATATAGAGAGCTTGAAATGAATTGGTTTCCTTGTACACCATTCCCACAAGTTATGTAAGTGAAAGACTGCATTAGGAACGTAGTTGAAAAGCTTGTGAAAAGCTATCAGTGGAGAACTGATAATTATTTTGATGTCAAAAGTGTTTCTGAACAAGTTACATAATAAATACTGGAATAACATCATGTCTTGTCTAAGAATGAAGAACGACCAACCCTTTAAAGTAATAGATATTCTTGTAAGAGACAGATATGTATGTATATTTTACTATATAATATAATATTTATATCCATACGATTCCCTAAGAGCCGTACTTAGAAATTTCTGGCTAAATTGAAACCGATACAACAAACTATGAATGTACATATGTATGTATGTATGTATGTACATATATGGAAAAGGTAATCAAAAGACACGAACCTCGGACCACGGACATACAATACAGATTTATTTAACGCATCTGTTTACATTTCCTTTAATGTCAAACTAATAACTGACATCAGGTAACAACTTTTAAGATATAGATGTACAAAACGTAAGCCTTTTAATATAACAAACTGTTTTTAATTTTCTCGTATTTTGTATTTTTAGGAATTAAAAAAAAACAAAAGAGAATGTATTATTCGGTAAAGTTATCCGAAATGCCGCCTTGGACCGACCAAGGGGGTAGCATTGCGGCCATGTGTGGCAAGGATTGTGTGATCATTGCCACGGACTATCATCCGGGAAGTTTCCAGATTGACACACCACCTTCAGGCTTCAAGAAGCTGTTCAAGATAAATTCTAAAACATTTCTGGGCCTCACTGGACTTCAGATGGACATCCTGGCTGTTCATGATCGTGCCATGAATCGCCACAATCAAAATGAATTGAGTGAGTGTCGTGAAATGAATCCAAAAGAGTTCTCAATTGTGGTCTCGAACATGTTGTCCAAACAACGCTCGAAGCCATACTATGTGGAGTCAATGGTGGCTGGTTTGGAACCCGATTGGAATGATGGAACCCTAAAGCCTTATATATGTTACATGGACTGGATTGGTTGTAGAAGGGAGGCCAAGAATTTCTTGGTGTGTGGCACCAGTGCCTTACAGCTAAATGGGATATGTACATCTTTGTGGCGACCAAATTTGTCATCAGATGATCTCTTTAAAGTCATCTCAAGTGCGTTACATGTCGGCTTGTCTCGGGATCGTACAACTCGATTGGGTACTTCTGTATTTATGTATCTCATCGAGGCGGATAAGATTACGGAGCGTTTAGTGGAGTTGTGAATATAGTTAATGCTTTAATAGTATGCGTAATATTTAAATCCAATCGATAGGCAATTGTATTTAATCGTCTGACGAACAGTATTTAATCGATAAATGCTGGTGGTGCCACCTGTCTTGACGCACAAATCCTGCGCAGTGGATGCCACAGTGCAAAGTGGTGTCAACCCTGAGGTCGCACAACCCTCAAAAGCTAAACTAAGGGTTTGGATAGCTCGCTCTCTCTCTGGCTTTCTCTGGTTCTCTCTCTGTTTGCGAGTGTTTTGGGGCCTTACTACGTTTGTGTTATGGTTTTTCCTGGCTTTTCACCCCCCTCCCCGACTCGCCGGGAGAGGAAAAGCTAGTTCGAGTGCGAGTGCCGCTGCTGGTGCTGTTGCTGTCAGTTTGGTCCCGGACTCCTTTCTCGTTTTTGGCTCTAAACTCCTGGAGAACTCACAGCGGTCGCAGCAAGATGCTAAACTTTGGGCATTAAGTGATTTTTCCAATCCAAAGTGCAACTTAATAAATCGGTGGTTAAAAGTTAGCGTGGAAAAGCAAGCGAAGGCAGCTGGGAAAAATCGCATTGCATTCATTCGGGCGCACAAAGAAAATGAGCGCAAAGGTATGGAAAAGAGCGCGACTCTCTCTTTGAAAGTGTGTGTGTGCTACGTAGTGTGTGTGTGTGTTACAGAGTGTGCTTCGAACAGAGTGTGTGTTCTATAGAGTGTGTGTGTTACAGAGTGTGTTCCCTGGCTAGATAGTGTGCGTGTGCGATATAAACAATGCTGCTTTCAAAGTTGTAATTGCCTTTTGCAGCTAAACAATTGTATTGCACTCTGGCACGCCACGCCCCCCTAAAGCCTATCCGAAAATCGGTGTGCAACATAACGCCCCCATTGCACTGTTGCCCCCTTTTGATACAGGGTTGACCCTGGCCCTTGGTATACATAAATTGCAGAAACTGCACCATAAATTCAACTCAAGTCGGTCGCTCCCCCTCTTCTCCCCATTTAGAGTGATTTCCAACATATGTTATGGTAGTCAGGACACAGCGGTTATCCCTCGGGGGAAGGAGATGCAACACCAATGGGAAAAGCCTCACTCTTCTAGTTACTCTCTGCTTGCCACAGAAAACTCATCTGATGGCCATAAAACCCCGTTTATTAACTCTGAGAATTCTCAGAATTCGTCTATTGGGTTTGGCTTTGGCTTGTGGCTCTCCATTAAGCCCTATTCTCTTGAATATTTCTTTATGGAATATATATAGTCGTGTTTGAGTTCTTGTATTTTAAATAGGGTATTATTTAGAGTATATTGTGATATTTGAGGTCTGAAATATGGCGAAACATATTGGGTTAGGTATAGAATGGGAATATTATTCTGCTTCTCAGCCCTGCAGCTTCTACAGAAGACTTTGAATTTGGTAGCTTTTACCAATCTGTGTTGATATATTTATGAGTTGTTTAAGATCACAAATAAGTGGAATTAAAGAAGTATAGGTATAAAAGTCCCTAAAGAAGAATAAGTCCTGAACAATGAATGCAAACTTAATTTACAGAGATCTGTGATAAGAACAATACAATACAATCATAACAACAAGAACAGATTTATCAAATAACCAACTAAAAGTTGTCTTTGAAGCCAGTTTTCTCTTAAATTTAAATGAAATTAATAATAATCAATTTAAAAACAGGAAATTATATAAAGAAAATTACATTCTTCTTCCTAATTTCCTTCTTAAAACAAATCCTTCTTTCAAAAACACCCTCTTGCTGCTCTTTCTTCTTACCAATCTCTTGACCTTTTTCGATTTGTGGCCACTTGGCTGTTGTTAGCCTGGGCCATAAGGAGAGCATTCCTTAGACATATTTATATATGCCAGTTAATGTCTGTTTACATTCAACAAATCCCGCCCGAATGTCAATGCATGGCAGTGTGGTGTGAGTTTTGCAATTTCTGTTTACATTTCGATGGAATCGCTTCGGGCTAAGAATTTGGCCCAAACCAACCATAATAGATGGCAAAATATGGCAAAATAAAATGCAAAAGGAAAAAAAAACAGAAAAAAAAGGCACAAACTGCGCAACAGTTTTCACATCAGCTGCCAGCATTTTCGTTGATGGTGATAAATTAAACGCTCTGCCCACGGATTGTAAGCCAATACAGTGTACATAGGGTTACAGTGAGCACTGGCTAGGGATGGTCTGAGATATGTAATTAATGTATTATATATTATTCCACAACATAATCATAGTTTAAGTATTCAAAGTCACAAGTGACAATGCGGCGTATGAGTGATATTTTTGATGTAATGCCAGGAGTTACTGTCTTGTTCCTGGCTTACATCACTCTACGAGGCTCTCAATGACAGTTTGTCGTTTTCAATTAGGAAAACAGGCTCGTGTTTTTATTGTATATATAACACTGATCCCAAATATCGTGGATATATATTGTTCTAGCCCATGAATGAACGCTAAATAGCTTGAAGATAAATGAAAATGCACATAAACAAAAAGCCAATGATGCAAACCATTAATTGAATATTGCTTTGCGTTAATTGAATACATATTTTCCGTCCAATACTTTCATATTCCAAGCAGTATTATATACATATGGATACATATAGATGCCACCCGCTTGCCTCGCTCACAAACACACGCACACAACACACATAACACACCACTCAATTAATTTGTGTACAATGCAAAACTATTCGATTCTGGGTCTGAGGGAATGGGGACTACGGACTGGTAGACTCGGGACCACAAACTGGGGGCTCGGTTCCTGGGTGGAAAGCTCCACGAACTCGGGCCTCAGTGCACACCCAACGGTCATGGGCTGAACACGGTATTATCGCCGCCGTCGCATTCTGTTATCGTACCGCTTCTCATCCCGCCCGGAAAGTCAAAAATAATATAAAATAAACAACAAACATTTCTCCAGTGTATCTTTGAATACCACTGAGTGGTACCTTTTTGTGGGTTTGAGCAAAATGTGGCTCTCCGACTGCCGTTCGGTAGGTTAAGTTCAGACAAATGATATATATACATTGGATCTACAACTACATATATCCATATAAAGCGGCATATATGCAGATCTTCAGTCAGATGTGAGAGATATTAAAGCGCTGACAAGTGGTTGCAAATTACAAGGGGCTTAACCCCTAAACGAACAGGAGGGGTATAAAGCTCAGGGGTTAATAGTTGTCGTCTTTAAACTAAAAAATAGTTAGTTTTTAGATATTTTGTACAAGCTTGAGGCTTTATTTACTTACTTATTATATTTTTTAAGTTCATATTGTTATTAAATAACCATTCAGTAATTCAAAAATGAATTCATATTAATTGCCATATGTTTTGGTTAAAACTTTGACATGGAAAAACAATTATAAGCGATAAGATACCTGCTCTATTATCACCATTAACTGGTAAACAAAAACTATATATTGGTGAAAAATATACGCAGTAAAATTCAAGATCATCTGTGAATATGCTGCTGACACAAGGGTTAAGAGAAACACTTTTTGAATACAACAGAAACAGAAATTCTATGGGGGAGGTGATGGTGGGGTCTGTAAGAGAAAAATAAAGCACAAGGCGCTGAATGAACGCTATAGAACACATCATACATACATACATATATATACACACACGAAAAAAAGAAAGCTTCGGCAAATGACGCTACTTTCTGTATCTACAAAATACAATTTTTTGTGCCTTATCAGATGCCCGAAAGGCCTAGGGCAAACATGGAGATACTCCGTTTACAAATATTCAAAAGATATATCCAAAACTGAACCAGAATGAATGTGTAGAAACTCAAAGTATATAGAATTCAAGTTTAGTTCTGGTTGAAAAGTATTCAAGTAAAGACATTTGGGGTAAGTAATACTTTAGGTATGATATGATATGATATGATATGATATAATATATAAAGTATCTTATAGATACACAGTTGGAATATATACCTCTGGACCTTTATTAACTTCTGGTTTCATCTCCACATTCCTTAAATAATCATATTTAATTACCTTATATATTAAATTTCAGATGACACGCTACAAACAAACCGAATTCACGGAAGATGATTCCAGCTCCATTGGCGGCATTCAACTGAATGAGGCAACTGGCCACACTGGCATGCAGATACGCTATCACACTGCTCGGGTAAGTGAGATACTCTAGTTTCAGCTTATCCTCGTAATCCAAGCCCCCCCCCAAGCTCTTCCATCTGCATTCTCTGTGTGGCAATGACCCAAAAACGAGAGCCCAATGAGGCCAACATGAGCGCCATTTTTTTATATTCGCCAGAAGGTTACCCCTTGACAGTGAAAAATCTGCCTCCCTGACAAATGCTATAGATACGAACCGATTTGCACTTACCCTATAAATTATATTTGTTTAGAGATAACTATAGAATGTATCTTATCTTTTTTTAGGTTTTTATTCTGATAAATTAAAGATAAATATAAGAACAAAAAGAGTTATGCCACAAGATTTTTGTGTACTCGGAATATTTTAAGCTGTCTTTAAAGCTGGCTTAAGGTTTTCTTGAAATCTTGGTGGTTATGCACCTTGTTATTTAAAAGTCTTTGGCATGGCCTCGTCTTATTATAGTTTTCTGTTTTTAATATTCATGGAAACCCCCAAGGCCTTGCCTTATTATAGCTTTCTACTTGTAATATTCATTAAGCCCTCAAGTCTTTGTCTTATTATAGTTTTCAATATATATAATATTCATGGAAACCCCCTAAATCATAAAATATGTTTATGGGATATGCAAGATCTTCACGCGTCTCCAATAAGGAGGGTATTTATTTTTAATCAGGTCATGTATTTTAATCAGTTCTTGTATTTTTAGAGAAGCACTCCTTAACTAAATATTTAAAATATTTTTGTAACAATTACACATCCATATCTAACATACTTAAAAAAAAAAAATCTAATAATATATTTATAATTTTTTAAAACCATCTCTCATAACTCATAACTCAAACAGAATCCTAAAATAGTAGAAAGAGCATCTTCTAGTCGTGTCAGCTTAAGATGTGGCAGCCACACATTGAGTTGCCTGCAATGGGTGGAAAAATTTAGCATCAAGTGACTTAAGTAGGCGAGATTTTTCTCGGGTAGATACACAAGTTTTTGAACTCATTTGAACCGCCGCCGTTTTTGCATTTTGGATACAAATGCCGATTGTTTACAAAACACACGCCACTGGGTGAGATTTATGGGGAGGGCTTTAGCTTTTGTGCTTTTTTTTTCGCTTTTTTGCTTTTGGAGGTTACTGTGTCGTCTCTGGTCTGATTACTTGATAATAGCAATGGCAATGGTTGAATCTTCTCGTTGCACAGGCCACATGGAACTGGCGTTCGAGGAACAAGACAGAGAAATGGCTGCTCATCACAACTTTTGCAATGGCCATAACGATCTTTACCCTACTAATTGTACTTTTTGCGGATGGAGGCGCTAGTGATGCCACCAAGCATGTTTTACATGTCCAACCGCATCAAAAGGGTATGTATTATATGTAATTCATAAATAAATTTATTATGTACTAAAATTCCCTGCTCTTTTTCCAGATTGTCCCTCGGGAAGTGAGCTGCCCTGCCTGAATAAGCATTGTATCTTTGCTTCCAGCGAGATTCTCAAGTCCATAGATGTTACTGTGGATCCCTGCGATGATTTTTATGGTTATTCCTGGTATGTTTTGCTAAAAGTATTGCATTTTTAAATAACAAATCTACTAATAATCTTTATAATTACAGCAATCAATGGATTAAGAACAATCCCATACCCGAGGGCAAGTCCACATGGGGCACCTTTGGCAAGCTGGAGCAAATGAATCAGCTTATCATTCGCAATGTCCTGGAAAAACCCGCCAAGAGCTTCAAGTCCGATGCCGAACGAAAGGCCAAAATCTATTACGAATCCTGTCTGGATGCTGATGAGCATATGGAGAAGTTGGGTGCCAAGCCCATGAATGATTTGCTGCTTCAAATTGGCGGTTGGAATGTGACCAAAAGTGGTTACAATGTGAGCAATTGGACAATGGGACGTACGCTCAAGATACTGCACAACAGGTGAGTGTTTAAGTTAGGTGGAACTTGTGCATATATCTCATATATCTTTCTTATATATTACCTACGTTTAGGTACAATTTCAATTGCCTTTTTGGCTGGGCAATCGGTGAGGATGATAAGAACTCTTCGCGTCATGTCATTCAAATTGATCAGGGTGGATTGACGCTGCCCACTGCCGATTATTACAACAACAAGACGGATAATCACCGCAAGGTACTCAATGAATACATCGAGTACATGACCAAGGTGTGCGTCCTTTTGGGTGCCAACGAATCGGATGCTCGTGCTCAAATGATCGGCGTTATCAACTTTGAAAAGAAGCTGGCAAATATCACAATTCCTTTGGAAGACAGACGCAATGAGGAGGCAATGTATCATCCCATGCAGTTGCGTCAATTGGCCAAATTGGCCCCATTCCTCAATTGGACGGATCATTTTGACAATGCCATGCAAATGGTGGGACGCAGGGTCACCGATGACGAAGTGGTGGTTGTCTATGCTCCTGATTTTCTCAAAAACCTGTCGGATATTATACTCAAAATGGAGCAGACTGAGGAGGGCAAAATGTGAGTGTTGTACTTTAATATTTGAGGGAATAACCTGAATAATAATGTCCTTGCAGCACTCTGAACAACTATCTAATATGGCAGGCAGTGCGCACTTTGACCAGCTGTTTATCGAAACCTTTCCGGGATGCATACAAGGGTGTAAGGAAAGCACTCATGGGTTCGGATGGTGGCGAGGAAATCTGGCGTTACTGTGTCTCTGATACAAACAATGTAGTTGGTTTCGCCGTGGGTGCCATCTTTGTGCGTCAGGCTTTCCACGGTGAGTCAAAGCCAGCGGCAGAGCAAATGATTGGCGAAATCCGTGCGGCCTTTAAACTGAACCTCCAAAACCTAACTTGGGTGGACAAGCAAACTCGTGAGAAGGCCATCGAGAAGGCCAATGAAATATCAGATATGATTGGATTTCCCGATTACATCCTAGATCCCGTCGAGTTGGATCGCAAATATGCAGAGCTAAATATCACACCGAATGCCTACTTTGAGAATAACATTCAGGTGGCAATTTATAATCTAAAGAGTAACCTTAAGCGCCTGGATCAACCGGTTAACAAGACCAATTGGGGCATGACCCCGCAGACAGTGAACGCTTATTATACACCGACCAAGAATCAGATTGTTTTTCCCGCCGGTATCCTTCAGACGCCTTTCTTTGATATTAACAATCCTAAAAGCCTTAATTTTGGGGCCATGGGTGTGGTAATGGGTCATGAACTGACCCATGCCTTTGATGATCAGGGAAGGGAGTATGATAAGTTTGGGAATATCAATCGCTGGTGGGATGCCAAGAGTATTGAACGTTTCAATGAGAAATCCGAGTGCATTGCAAGACAGTACAGTGGTTACAAGATGAATGGACGTACCCTCAATGGCAAGCAGACATTGGGTAAGTTTAGCTTGGATATATGTTTTATATTCTAATATTGATTTTTCCCTTTTAATCAGGTGAAAATATTGCCGACAATGGGGGCCTTAAGGCAGCCTATCATGCCTATCTGCGTACCAAGAGCGAAAAGGAGGCAGATGTCCTTAGGCTGCCAGGCCTAAATCTTACACACTCGCAGCTATTCTTTGTGTCCTTTGCACAGGTAAGTCAAGGATCAAATAACTTAAAGTAGAGCTATATATAAAATGATCTCTTCCCCGCCAGGTCTGGTGCTCTAGCACCACAGAGGAGACAAATCTCCTGCAAATGGAGAAGGATCCCCACTCACCATCGCAATTCCGGGTGATCGGCACCCTATCAAATATGAAGGAATTCGCCGAGGTGTTCCAATGTAAGCCCGGCAAGCGCATGAATCCCACCGATAAGTGTGAGGTGTGGTAAAGGATATGCCGCTGTCCTGATCTCAGAATAAGCCAAAAGCCAAAGCTAAGTGGTGGTTAAATGAATGCAGAAAGGAGACACAGCCTCCAAGTGCTAATCCTGCATCTGGAAATCTATGGCTTAAGTTGTCCTATTTTTTATTATTTTTTTTTTTTATATTTCTTGTTTTTTTTTTGCCCGTCAGTCATTGTGCCTATGAAAAAAAAAAGATCGAATCTGACGATAAAAATGCATAAAACCAGTATGGATTCTGGGATGAATTGTCCCTGGCGAACCATAAAAACTACATATTAATGTGAACTGTGTGGGGCGGGGTTTGTGCGATAGAGACGCACACATATACATATATAAAATAGATAACGATAAATGATAACGATAACTGTAACTTAGCTATTTGTAGAACTATTAATGTATATTGTATTATAAAGATACAAATGAAGAAAAACACAAAGTTTGTGGCTACGGGACCCAAGGCCAAAATTAATGTGATGTTTATTCAGTGCTACGATTTATTTGTATTTTTTTTTAATAAACAAAAACCAAACTTAGAAAGAGAGTTTTCCAAGTCTCCAAAACGTCAGGCTTTTTTAAAATAGGAAATGCCACATTGTAATCTTCTTAAAATGTATCTACAAGTATGTTCATGGCTACCGAAATCTGTGTTAATTTAATTTGGTTTTTAACTATATAATCATTTTATATAATTGTTTTAAGTTTCCCTGTTTCTGTGATTTTCGGCAGCTTTCCCATATTCTGGACTTGGGTCATCGATTTGAGGAAAATCCTTACAATACACATAGCTAGTGAGTGTGAAAGCGACAGAGATGGCAATACAGAGAGGGTTTTCCGGCCTTTGAGTTGCCAAAAGTGACAGGAAAATATCCTTTATTTTTTGTTATAGTCTCCTAATGAGTTTTTATAAAATATAATAAGTTTTGTTTTTTTTTTTACTATTCATTTACCATTATAGTTAGCAGTTGCAGAGGGATACAGAGAATGCTAAAACACCAAATCAATACTAATTAAAATTAACTTACTGCTCAGATATATTGAGATTATATAGCCAAAGATATAAAGGAAGAAAAAAAACACACACAGACACACACAAAAACACACATATCAGACTACGATAATGTGACAAAGAGCCAAACACCAAGTAAATCACTATGGGATTTACATAGGGCAACAAAAACCGAGCATTTAGTAATAGGGAAATAGTAAAGCCACCTTCGAGCCAAAAAAAAAAAAAAACGAAATCAAAGCCAGTCAGTTAAAAAGCACAAAATCTTCACTAAGAAATGGTCTTTCGGTTCCTCAAACTCTCATGTACTCATGACTCATAATTCATAACTCACGACACTCATTCATGTTTTGTTTTTTGGTTGTTAAACATCGGGGTCTGGTACGCGTACTATGCATTTAAGTTCCGGTTCCACTCATGCCTCGGAAGCAGATGATTTTTGTATTCTATATATATGTATTATATACGATTAATGGGAGAGGTCACAAAAAATGGAGATAATACAGATATGGAAATAACATTATACAAAACAAAAAACAAAAAAACAAACATATACTGTAACTGAGTGTTTAAATGCAAGTTATTTTTATTGTCTATGAATAGAGCGTGCATGTATACATTTGACGAAAATGAAAATAAAATCAATAACTGTGACTATGAGAGTTTTCCAGCATGATTTTTCTTCATTAATGGGGGAAAGTTGGAACGATTGTAAAGATATTTCAAAGGGAATTAAATGAAAAATTTTACATCTATCGTGTTTTTTATAAAATAATATTATTTGAGCTTGAAACAAAGGTCAACACTAGAGTTTCCTTTATTATAAGACCTTCCAACTTTAAGCCGTTGAAGTCCCTTGAATTTTAAAAGTACAATATCCTTGTTTTAAGGCAAATTAAAGTACAACTTGAGACTTGGTAGACTGGTTCCTTGGCTAACTCCTTGGCATATTTCCTGCCCCTTTTGATGAACATTTAACTCGCTCTCTCCCTCTCTCTGGCTTTATTATTTGCTGGACAAAAATGCCAGAAATTCTAGCAAAATGCCGGTCGCTTGGGCTCTTAAAGTTGTCGAACTTTGACTTTATGACAAAGTTCTAATAAACTTTTCCTGCTGCCACACACACAGGCGGTTGTGTGTGTGTGTGTGAATATATAGAAATGCCAGCAAATTGCTTACATAATAAATAATAATAATAGCGTGCGATTTTTGGCGCAATTTAAATTTATTTATGGCACTTGTTTGTTCGCATGTCATGCGCAAGTTTTAGCCAGACATTTTTGCGCCCACGAAAAGAGGGGGGAGGGAGTGTAAAATCCATATACACACACTCATATACACACACACAGGTGGGTGTTCTTTTTGTGTGCTTTTGGTGCTCGTCTTTTGGGTGGTGTGCGGCGGCCCAGGTAAAATGGTTAGTCCTTCGGCGGATTTACCTATTTTTATCATTGCGGCTGATCCCGGTCGCCTGGCAACCAGCCTGTGGGCTCACAGCATTTAATCTGCTTAGTGGGAGCGATGTCGACTCATAAATCCTGCCTAAGGCATTGCCATAGTCGTGAATGTCCCCAGACCTGACCGTCTTATCGCATTCCCGCAATCGGTAACAGTCGGCAAAGGACAATGGACGCGGAGGTCACATGGAAATGGAGGATGGAACTAGGAGATGGGTAATGGAGCTAGGAGCTGGTACCTGGGTAGCTGGGAGATGGTGCTGAGAGCTAGGAGATGGAAGCTGCCTGATGGAGGTGAAAGATGAGCTCTGGTAGCTCAAAGGTAACGCTTCTTAAATGGCAATTAGTTGGCCACACCAACTGTCAGCTTCATTTAGCCACTGGATGATGTCATTGGGGCCTCTTTTGGCGGTAATTAATGCAATACAGGTTGGATAAACGACAAAGAGTGACCTGTAAAATGCTTGATTGGGCAAAAGGTATTAGTCCTTTCAACCGCAAGCTATGGAATAACTCCCAGGGTACATTTTCTGTGTGAAATTAACAGATTTGTATATTTTTCTCAAAGACCAAGTTCATTTTGTTTTTAATATAATTAAAACTCCGTCTACCTATGCTGTTTTAATGCTTGATTGCCTATTTATTTTATATACATTTACTTAACATTCAAACTATTTACTAGTAAAATTAGTATTTTTGATATATTTACTCAAAATTTAATATATTACCTAGAAAAACTTGAAATAAAAACAAAATCCGTATGGCTATTCCCTTAAACCAGTTTCTAAGCTTCGTTTCATATAGAAATTCTCTGTTAAATCTCCTACTTAGACGATTATTAATTATTTAAATTTTAGTTATTTTTTTCTAATCCCATTTTTCTAAGTCTATGCACTAAACCAAACTTTAAAAGGTATTTAAATTTTGCATTTGCTGACAGTGTGCAAAAGTAAGCTTTGCAATTAGTTTCCACACTGACCATCTGTCTTTGGTCAAACAATTTCTCGATTCATTGCATAATTGCAGGTCCTAAACAAGGCCAAAAAGTTAAAGCAATCAGCCAGGACCTAAAATCGGGCTTTTGGAAGGGTCACATTCCTTAACGATTACCATGATTAATGGGCAATGCAAAACAAAAGCATTTCAAGGCTCAAACGAATAACAAGTGCTTAGACAGAAGTTGAGTGAAATTGCAATTATTATTATTATTATTTTGTTGTTGTTTATTATGCAGACAGGTTGTGTGTGTGAGTGTGAGTGTTTGTGAGGCTGCTTAAATATGCATATGTCCGGTGTGGACAAGCCCATAAAATCCCCTTGCTCCGCAACACCAACACCCACTCAGCCATTCATTTGCTCGTTCGTTTATTTATGTTAATTTAAATCAACATGCAAAAATTAGCACATGAAGCAGAGACGCAGGAGGACAGAAGGACAGAAGGACAGAGGACAGGACACCGGATGACGTGTAGGCGCAGACGGAGATGAGTTTTGTGCATTTGCGGCATGGCTCGAAAACATTTAATTTATTTAATTACTTGCCCCTTAATTTGCATATTTAAATGAATTGCCGCAAAAGCCAAGGCTGGCCAATGCTGAGAGTGGGGTAGCCTCGATCCTAACATAATAACTTGATGACAGAGTAGCATAATGTATGCAATGACTTTTGACCCCCAACCTCGGAATGGGAATCGAAATAACTATAGAGAAAGAACTGCAGTTCATTTGATTTCGATTATAAGGATTAGTAACAAATCGATTAATGGAATGGAATAAGATCTCTACTGTGTTATTGCGAAATTGTGGTTGTTATTATCCTTGAGAAGCGTTGGTTTATATCTTAATCGACTTGACTGGTTTTTGGAGTAGGAAAAACATTGATTTATATACTTTTAAAATAATTATTGTTTATAAAAACATATTAAAGGATAATTATTCCTAAGTAACTAAGTTATATTAACCTCAAAATTCAGCTCATTTTCTGACAACTAAATATACATTTATTAATATAAATAAATATTAATATTAATATTAATATATTAAGATTGAGGTTCTTTAAAACCTTATTTTAAATATATACAATCCCTACCTTTGATAACAAATAAAATCGATTAAATATATAAAATGTTTCGAAATGAAATGTATAAATAAATCATATTGAAATTAGATACTTGAGTTTCCGATGTTTATAATAATTATAATATTAATGTTTATATTATTTTGGTTCTGTGCAAATGCCTTCATTCATGATTGATTGACTTCAGCACGAACTTGGCTTATTGCCTCCTTGCTGATGATGGCTTCGGCATATTGCAAGTATTTTATGGCCACAATTTTGAATGCATGAAAACACAATGGAGCAACTTTCACATCCGTTTCCGCTTCGATTTCGCCATCGCCTTACGCTCCTTTATGGCTGCAAATTATTGTTTCTCGTCGTCCATTGAAAGTTTGTGTTTAACGCAACTTTTTGTGCAGACATTAATTGCAAAAATTTTCTCGCCTAATGGCTGCAGGGAGGGAAAGGAAAATTGGCCTGGCATTGGTTTGCGAAATGAGATTTCGACCACAAAACAGCAGCAAACACAATTTTGGCTTTCGTCTGATGTTCTCCTCTATGCGGGCAATAAAATAACAATCAACGCAGGCCGCGGTTGCCGCCGAAGGGGTGTGGGAATGGGT